GCGTGTGGAGGCGGCGTGCCCGGGGGTGTCCGTTACAGTGTGGGGGCGTGTGGAGGCTGCGTGCCCAGGGGTGTCCGTTACAGTGTGTGTGGACACTGTGTGCCCAGGACACATCAGAGCCTGTTCAGCTGAAAATAATACTGGCATAAGGCTGACTCCTGTTAATACACTCCAAAGAGGACAAAACATAACAAACAGCTGCATTTAAGAAAGTAACTGTCTAATTTTCAATGGTCAGAAAAAAGAGAGAAAAGATAAAATCATCCAGTTTTGACTGAAGTACATCTGATAGATGAACTGAACTTGAATTTGCAAGTTACATTTAAGTTTACTATTCAAGGTTTCCAATGGTTTTTGAATTACATGTTTCTGCAAAAGCGAAAAAACTACTTACATATTTCAAGTTTGTACCTGAAGTACAGAAGGAAGACTGAACGCGAGATTTAGAAAGGAAAAATTGCAAAGAGATTCTAAACATGAAATGATTGTGCAGCAAAATGAAATTCCACTGAAATGACTGCAGTCTCCATAGTGGAACAAAATTAATTTACTTGTATAAACAGGAGGTTTCCACATTGCTCAGCTTTTCAGGAAACAGGTGGAGGGATAAGTTTATATGGAAGTATCCATGCAAATAACATCTCTACATGAATGCTGTTTAAGACTAATGTTTAAATTTTGAACTCAAAAACAAGGAAATAAATATTGTTAGACATGACATTACAATATGTCTTCATTTTTCATTACACTCTGAACTTTGAACACCTAGGAGCCAGTAAGTCGTCATCTTTATTCTGGCCCTTTAACGTACCTTAGGGCTGTGCTCATACTAAAGCAAAAATACATTCTTATCAGGACCCTGACAGTTAACGGTTTCTCTAAAGTGCCTGTTCTACTATCTAGTCTCTGGTTTCACTCCTATGTTTTCTAGGAATAGCTTTACCAGCCTCCTCTTGGCCTATTCTTCCCATGTCACCTGATTTCCAAGGATGCTCACAGAGTGAGAATGCTAATTATATACTACAGGACACTACAGTATTGACCATCACCGCATCTGCAGTAAATATCCACTTAATCTTATGTGCAATTAAAAGAACAAATCACATGATTAATTCTAAAAAAAAACCATCCTTAAAGCAATACAGTAATCCTATTTTGAGAGAGTTTGCTATGGATCTCAAAGAGGGCTTTCAGAGATGCCTCTAGAGCTTTGTATACATATTTTCTTCTCATTTTGTCATCATAGCAAAAATGCTTTTTTGAGTTACAGCCCTGTAAGCCTTTGGCTTATGTGATTTGGCTAATTAAACTTCCTTTTAAAGTAAAAGTAATAGAGTAGTAATGTTTCTTTGAAGCTGTGCACCTTCTGTTGTTAAGAACTCAGTTCTTTGAGTACCTCCTACATTTTTGTTGAATAATCACTTCAAGACAGCCTGTTTCTGTTATCGTTTCTATTAACCAATTTGTTTACTCATGCATTTATCTTTTCCTGTTAAAATATTTAGCTAATATGTTCCAGTAACTCAATGTCTGTCTTCTGTGTAAGATAGCATTTTTTTTATTTCTTAGGCAATCCCTCTTTGGTGGGGATGCTGAGGCCTTTGGTATAACTGCAACCATTTGTCCCAAATTAGATTTTCTTCCCTCAGGCATCCCAGCTGGTCTTCACACAGAACCAGAGACAAAACAAAAGCAAGCAATCAAAAAGCTAATTTTGACTCACAAAACAGTAAGGAACTATATATAATTATACAAAAAGAAGATGATGGCAAGTTGGGAGGAAGAGCCTAGCCTTACTTCCCAGGTCACACAAATTTGTTTAGAATTTTTCTAGAACAGGCCTAATCTATTAGTTGAAGCTGGGAAGAAAGGTGGCAGTACTTAGTGACTCCTCATGCTCTGACTCTCATTTGAGAGGAACGGTTGTTGGCTCCTGAATTACAGATTAAGGAGTATTGCTGCATGTATTTTCCTTTCAAATACCAGTGTGCAGTAATGTCTTCTGGCAGTACTGCTGCATGAGATTTCTTTAGCAATCACATTCAATTATATGCATTTCAACTTTAAAAGGAAAGTACAAGAATGGTACACATCTGTCTCTCTTGTTGTTTTCTTTCCAATTACTGAAGAAAGAAGTGAGTTTCAGCGATTTAGGATTTCTCGATTCATGATTTTCTAGTGTGAGGTACTTTTGTTTCAGTATACTTAGGAAAGTTGTTGCTTTCTGTAATGCATGGAAGTAATGAGACTCTCTAAGAATAACTCTTAATTTGTGGTCTTATTAAACTGAATAAACCTTGAATATTCTTTTTGAAATTGCAGACTGTAATGTGAAAAATACCTTTGAACTGAAGTTCCCCGAGATACCTGATTGAATTAGTCCTGCTTTGAGCAGTGGGTTGGACTGTATAACTTCTGGAGGTCGCTTCCAACTTTAGTTATTCTATGATTCCCTGAGACTGTTGGCTAGGTAAGTATACCACTGCATAACATAAACACTTTAGACAGAGTAAATCAGAGGAATTTGTCTTTTTGCAATGAGGGAGTAATACAAAAATTTTATCTGATGTAGTATGGAGTAATCAGAAGATTTTTTTCAGAACCTTTTTGTAGCAAGAAAAAGATATCAAACACCCTGGAGTTGTCAAAGGAAGCTGTCAGATTAAAACTGTTAATAGTGCTCATGACCTCTTTCACAGTGGCAGTTTTCACAGGTTCCCCTCTCCAACCCGTTTTTATTATCTAATATGGAATAATTGAGAACGATATTTTAGTGATGATACTGTTTGATAGTGCGGACATAAAACTGATAATTTTGAAGAAGGTTTTATGAACAGTGATGCTTTTGGGGGTGAGTGCTTGCAAACTATTTGGAAATTGTAAATTTGCAATGTGTTACGGATTTACTTTTGCTCAGTACTAGAACTTCATTACTGTTCCTCCCTACACATTTTTGTTCTTAAAATATCATACTGAATTACAAGTAGAGTTTTATAGTATACCAGAATCCATGGTATTATTAAGCCAAGAAATGCAAGATTTTTATTAACAAACTTTGTAATATTTCTCTGAAGCGTGAAAGTATTATGCACAGTTTGTATATGGTCTAATTGATTCAGAAATACTGAATTCAAGGTTAAATAATGAATCCAGAGCCAAAAAGAGCAACCAAATTATAAAACAAAGAGCCTCTACCAGGAGTCCAGAGTACCAACACAGCAAAAGGTTAATTTGTTTCACACAAGTTAGTCAGTTCACGCCCTCATCTCAATTACAGTGTGCTTTTCTAAAAAGCAAAACTTAGGTAAAAGATAAAATCAATTTACTGGACCAGTCAAAGAGACTTTATGAGAATTATTCCCTAGACAAACGGAATGCCTGTGCATTGCCAAATTTGGTTGTACAGTTCCTTAATTTTTGGCAGTGGGAAATCCTATTAAAAACAATTGATCAGGTATGCATATACTTCAAAATAAATTTACCATACGAGTGGAGGTTGATAATATTGCAACATCTATTTAAAAAAAAAAAACAAAACAATTGTTTGCAATCCAAACTATGCTTTGGAATAGAAACTCTTAAGCAGCCTTATATATTCTGTTGTTAGCACTTCAACTGTTACAATCGAAGAAAAACATGTAAAATTATACAACACCCTTCCCTATTTCTACCACTCAGAAACAAAAATGAATACAAAGAAAACAATGAGATAAATGCTATTGTATTCCAAAACCTGAAAAAAAAAGAAACTCAAACATAACAATTGCAATAACATGATATATATGAAAGACTGATTTGACTTTCAGTTTGCAAGCACGCTTGCATACGTTTGCTAGCTATGGGGTAAACAACATAGCCAACCAGCTGCTGACTGCGTATGCTCTGTCTAGGCCACATCCTGTGAAGCTTATGATGCTAGCCAAGACTTGATTTTAAGCTACCACAGGCAGGTATCAGCACATTCATTTCTGGTATTTTCTGAAAATGAAATAAAAAAACACTAAACTATGATAGATTTTAATTAACAAATGTTCTGAAAACAATTAAATTAGACTTTCTAAACTGATAGATCTTTATGAGATGTATAATCCATATACAGAAGGTACATCAGGAAGTGTATCTATCCTATTTTTAGGACAATTTACACTTGCATCTTCTCCATCATCAATGCCACCAGAATCCTCCCTCCTTTGTGTCATAGGCAAACAAAACAAACTGCAAGCAAGCATTATACTACTTGCTATGTAGCAGTCTCATCTTATGATTAGCAAAACACTTTACATACTTGTTAGTAGAAAAAGCAATAGGAAATTTGGAGCCATGCTTTCCTTTCCACTTTCACTGTAAATCCGAAAAGCTGCCTACTTTGTCATCTGCTTCTGCTGGTGGCTTTGAAGGACAAATCTTCCCCTCCTTCCCTGTGTGAAAAATACTTAATGTAATCTTGCAAAAAACATTTTCTTTTTTGTAATCTGTACATCACTCATCCTCACAGCTCTTTTACTTCATGTCATGACCAGTGATAGTAGTGTAAATTCCCCCAACAGAGAATAGTAAGTTTTCAGACATGAGAACTGTACTGAATCATCCAGGATCCTGACAGTACAAAGAAGTGGCATGAGGAGCAGTACCAGAATTTTTTTACTCTTCTTTTTTTTTAGCGCCAAAATTAGGGACCCACAAAAAAAAAGCCCCAGGTGGTCGCACACAGGGAGGCCGGCACAGGCACAGGCAGAGGCAATTCCAAGAGCGGGCCCCTGGCGGCGGCGTGAGCGGCGCCTTCCCCTGCGGCCCCGACCGCGCTTCTCTGAACAACCTGCGGGTTTCTTCTCTCAGGGACAGGCTCAACTCGCACCTTGGTACCCAGACGTACGAGCCGCCTTCCGGCGGCCCCACGGAGAGGCTGCCCCTTGCCCTCGGA